GGGCATTGGCCGGGAACACTGGCATAAAATAGGTTAGCAAAAGGTTACCAATTTTGGGGGGAAGTCTGGGAACCTAAAAACAATAGGAAGCGCTAGAAAATTCTTGCAAAAGCATCCAGCCGAAAACGTAACAAAATCTAGACAAAGCCTAGAGCATTCCTAGGAAAATGCTGGAGAAGCCTTTGAAAATCCCATAAATCCAACAGAAAACGTGACAAAATCTACGAAAAAGCAAGGGCATTGGCCGGGACCACGCCGCGACCAGCCCGGGATTCGAGCCCGGGACCATTTTGGACCGTGCTTATTTTCCCGCGCGGGGGAGAGGGTGCCCCAAGATGTAAATCAATTGGGATGGCAGAATCTTGGACAACCCAGGTCGCCATCACGTCGCAATCACGTCGCTTTTTGGTCGGGATTTCGTCACTGCAACAAAGGTCCGGAGGGGTAGGGGAGGTAAGGTCTAAGTCTAAGTCTAAGGCTAAGGCTAAGGCTGAGGCTAAGGCTTAAGTCTAAGGCTAAGGCTAAGGCTTAGGGCTAAGGCTAAGGCTAAGGCTTAAGGCTAAGGCTAACATCGACAGTCACGCCTCACCCCACGGTGTGGGGTCGGCGGATTGCATATTCTCATAAAGCATCACTTGCAGAAGTCCCAAACTTGGGCTTGCTGACCTACGACAATCGAGTTTAGTACTGTCACTCCGAGACCACTGGCTGAGGTAATGAGGACGAGGCATGGGTGCATGGGTGCCACATATGGCATGTTGCAGACAATATCTCACAAAACTTTGCTGGGGCAGTCCCAAACCTGCACATTGTTGCACTTCATTGCAACTTTACTCGTTCAGTGAGCTTTGTCCAAGATTGGTGGCGAAACAACTGACCCAAGGGATGGGGGGTTCTGCGGGGATTCCATAACATGTTCATCGGTTTCATAACACGTTCAACGGTTTTATGTGGCACCAACTCATTTTTTCCATGGCAAAACATATGGTTTGGAACACATGGTCATGTTTTTTTCGCACATGCCCAAGCATGATAACAGCAGAATTACAAGCAGTTTGCATCCATGCCACACATACAACTCATCATCGAGAACCATTGATAAGCTTCAACATGCACACACATTTTTGAAATATGTTCGCGTAAGTCGATGCCTAAGACTTACGATAACCATTCAAACATATTAAAACATTTGTGTGCAACCTTCTCACCAGTGGCCCTGCGAACATACACTATCCAAGCTGAGCACAGCCAATTGAACCCTTCCAAGAACCTCCGGCCTACCGACAACTGACCAGTAGGCATTTCATTTATATAATTCTTTGCTCGTAAATGTTCTTGCTGCAGATTGATGTTGGTTTTGATTGGACACCTTTAAAGGATGATTCTGCTGAGTTCGGCCTTTTCTCCTTGTTGTGGCATTGTGCACCAATCTGTGACGGGAGTTTGATGCCAGGACGATTACAACGGTCTTTGCTATGAAAAGTGCAGTTCCTTCTTCAGCAGTAAGCGCTTTGTACATGAAGAAGTTAAAACTCGAACAAGACCTTGAGGAATTACTGGATTTGCTACGGCATTCCAAGGCCGATTGACCTACGGGCAGGGAACGATCCGCACTGGGCCAAGTAGTTGCAACTTGGGTTTGCACCAGGGCACAGTAGTGCCAGCATCTAGTCAGGAAAGCTAGCTTTTAAGGTAAGACAATCTATTTATAATATATATATATATTAAGTTGGCCGTTACCACGGAGGTGACATGCAGGTGCAAATACCAGCATCAAGGCTTTGAACAGGTTCAACTGACATTCGGCTTTTGACATGTGACATGTGCAAACTACAGTAGTTGCTTTTTTGGTGTACTGGACAATTCCGCGAGAGAGCACTAGCAAGAAGCAAATATGTGGCCAGAATGGGTCAGAATGGGCTTTGAACTTGCTTGGTTGGTCTTGCTTTTGAGGCTGCACATGCGGCAAAGGCCTCTTGGATAAATGAATAGAGAGGCATTGCCATGCTGCAAGAAGTGGATCTGGAAATACCATGGCTCGTTGGCTCGCGCAAGGGACGATATGGGTTCAGTGTAAACCATCAGTCCCACACATCAAGTTTTTTAACCCATGGCCCTACCTCCTTAAGTAGGCGCCTACTTAATTAAGTAAGTGAAAGCTACTAGCTAGTTAAGGTACTACCTACTGGACGCAGGAGAACACACGCTTCCTTGAAGAAGCGCTCGCACTAATGATTTTGTTCATATTTTGGGACACTGAACTGAACTGGTTGGCTTTAGCATGTTTTAGCCATTTCTGTGGAGCATTTCAGCTCAGGAACAGGTACTGTAGATGTTTGTCCGTTTTTGTCCAACCCCATATGCATTCCAGGTTTGACCTTGAGTCGCAGTAATCAAAATTGGCATCCACTGGCCTGTCGTGGATCTATTCGCCTCCTTGGAGCATTGAACTGGTTGAGATGCAAGGCTTTTTCCAGAATCTATGCTGTGGCTTGCCCTGGAATGGTCTTTCAGATGCATCCTTCGCAGCTGGGGCCCAAGGGGGACATGTGGTACTTATGCAACTTTTTTGAATGCTGCCACAAGTTGCACCACAAGAGCACTATTCCTGTTTGGGAATATGGCATTGATTCACATCCGGGGCTTGCTAACGAGTAGGGTAGAACAGTGACGCTTGCAAAGGGATTGCAATAGTATGTCCAAGCATGAAAGATATGAATGGATATGATAGAAAGTCTCAATGAGTCTCTTGTGTTTCTGAGCGGAATCTCAGTCGAACCTCACAGCCTTGACTCTTCCAATAGGAGCTTCACCTCGCATTGCTCTGTTGGCTAATGTTAGCTACACCTCTCATTGGTAGCACACATATTAATTGCGATGGCCTCTAACCTACTAGCGATGGCCTCCAACCTAATAGCGATGGCCTCCATCTTACTAGCGATGGCGTCCAATTACTGGTACACATTATCTCTTAACCTTTGTGCTTGCATCTTCTGTTTGCGCTTGCAACTTCTCCAACATTCGCTCTATTGCCTTGCCTTTTCTTCGCCTTTTCAAGAAAAAACAAATCGACGAATAGATGTAGGCTGATGAAAGGTATTGTACGTGTGCAACTATCAAACAAATCGCTGCCTCTTTGCCTCTTTGTGGTAGCATCAGATCAACAACATGTTTTGTTTAATATCTTTTCAAGACATGCACCGAAGAACGACATGTTTGCAGTTGCAGAAAACAGAGCAGCATCCATACTGTACCTCTTGCATATGGGCAACACTAGTCTGTGCTAGGTATATACCACACAAAGTCCATGTGTGTCGCTCTTCCCAGTGGTGTTTGGAAGACATATCAACAACACATTGGTGTTTGGAAGTCCTTTGCCGCAAGGCTTGCTAGATTCCGCAAGTGTTCGCTTCGCTGTTGTTCGCTTTCAACTTTATTTTTGACTCAAATGTACGTCCTTGTAAGGAGTTTGTCCATCGAGAGCCTATCTTTTTTTGCATGACCATGTTAGAATTCCAACGATCGTGCCAGTGCGTTGTCACTCAGGTTGGGCAGTCAGAAGCTGGTGGAGCACTTAAAGATCTGCAAGACCTTGTTAGTTACAGGCCCTTCATACCATTCACGACAGATGTCGTTCACATGATGCCAGACTCCTTCATTCTTAATTCTTGATGCTTCAGACTGTCCTTCAGACTCGTCACCATTTGTGCAAGGTGTCTTGAAGGATGCTTCTCCTGCGATGCTTGCTGGTAGACTAGTATATGCCAACGGCGTAGTTTGCAACCCCATAGGAATTTTCAATTTTGACATCGATGAGAAGGCACGTGCCGACCGGAAGTGTTTTTTTTTGGGTTGTGGGGGCCGGTGGGGTTGTAAGAGCGTTCGGTTTGTGTAACGCTCGAGGATAGGTTCGCGTTGTTGATGGTTTTGGCTCGTTGTTCAAACAGATCATTGGTAACAGATGGTTGGCTCGTGTTGAAGCTTCGGTAGCTCTTTCGTGCGTGATCTTGTTGCGTTTGTGCCGCGTTCCTTCTCCATCTGATCCTATCTGGTGTCCTTTTTCACTGTTGACGTGTGGTACCTGGACACCATTCTGCAGTTGCATTCGTTTCCTCCTGATCCTTTGTTGGACTTCACACTGGTTGTACTCGGATTGTTGGCCGGAGACTGAACTCTTCGTTGCTCCTTAAACTTGGACAGTGGTTTGAACACTTACGCAGAACTCGTGGCATTTCTTGCAATCTGTAGCATCGGCATTATTTGTGTTGAGCCTTCGTTGCTTGAAACCGTGCATGCACTCAGATGGTGCAAAGTCTTAGTCCAACGTGGCCCAAGATTTCGCAGCGTGTCAAGAAGGTTTCTCGGCCTAAAAAAGGCCAAGCCAAGTGCACTGGCACTCAAATCCTATTTTGAGAAAAGTATAATATACATTCCATCAACTGTTCATTCAAAGAAGTCTCATGCCTGCAACGAAGACCGTGTGATGAGTTATGTGAGATCTTAGATGTGAGGAGCAAACCAGAAAGCTGATCTCTGGAAGGCCGAACACTTGTGTCGAAAAGCGATGAGGTGACCACAAGAGCACTGCCTAAAAAGGTCGTGGGTGGGAGCTACGCGGCTTCAGCCCGGAGGGTGCCTGAGAAGGGCCAAAAGAGGCTTCAGCACCTTGTGTAAAACCCAACACTTTTGCATCTTCTGTTAGAGCATGTTAGAGCCAAAACATGTCATAGTTTAAAACCACAGCGTTTTAAGATGTTTTAAGCAGCCTTTTTTGAAAGCCAATGTTTTGAACACCTACAAAAACCCCAGGGTCACTAACCACGCCGTCGCCTAGTATATAAGTACCGCTCAATTCTAGACTAGTAGTGACCCACTAGTGGCTCATATTCAGAAGCTATGCCAAGCCTCACGGCCTGCCTACCCTTTCCTGTCCCAAAAAGTGAAGATAAGAAACATAATGTGCTCTAAGCACCGCTGGTCTGAGGTCAAGTCACTGACCCACATCCTCCTGGCATGAGAATCCGCTGCTCTTCCGATGAGGTGAAGACAACACATCTCAGCATTTCATGTTGACATACGCTCGCAGCGGACACTTGTTCCGTGTTGCATTGCAGGCATTCACATGCAGACTTGTTTTCGATTGAGACCACTTCAAATTCAGACCGGACCCGTTTTCGGACGAGCTTACACTGTTTTGTAGAATCTTAGTAGAAACACCACCTAGAGCCCGCCGGCCCCTCCACCTGTTCCCCGTCTAGACAGTCTACAAGGTTTGGGACCCAATTAGGCTGGAGTAGATTGGGGTGGATTACGAAAAAAACTTTTACAGGGTTCTATGGGCGACGCCCTTTGTGAGCTTGAGCAACATCAGTTTTGGACAGGTTTATACAGTAATAACGTACGTTTTGGTGGTGGTTTTGGGATTCTGGCCGTGTTTTGGGTTTCTCGGGCCAGGCGAAACCAAAACTGCAAAAAATGAGGGATTGGCTAAATCAGAAAGTAAAGTGGGTGAAGAAGGATACACATATCAAGAGACAAACGGGCACATTAGTCAGGGGGTGTCCGGGTACCTGGGAAACCAAGAATATCAAAAATACCGTATTGAAAACTTGGCCAGGAGGTTGTCTAGGCGCTTGGTATTGCAGAAAGAAGTTGGGCCAAATCAATGGAGGTATATATATATAATAATGTTTTTACACTGATACATACCATTTCAGATGTGTGAAGCCAAACCCTTGTTTCATATATTTCAAAATCAAAGATTTCTCTTTGTGTCACACGTTCCGGGCTGGGTTCATGATGATGCCTTCAATAGCCTCACGAACAGTGAGCAAACGATAGCAAGAAAAGAACAATATCCAATTCAATTTCTAGAAGAACAGTTCACGAACAACGTCCTTCACTGAAAGTTGTCTTGAAACGCCTGTCACATAGTACTTCTCTGGGCTCCAGGTACCGTTGAGTGAGGTTGCTACACACACAGACTACTTTGTATGCTGTATGCAAAGTCGACACTTATTGTATTTTATAGATTCTTATATATAGTATTATTTAAATAGAATGCGTTTGTGTTTGTCATATTACCCTTCCAGTCTTTGCTAACACCTCGACAAGAAAAACACAAGGTTTGACAGAACCATTTTGCACCGAGTGGGCCTTTGAACACTTTGCCTCTTTATTTCCACAACTTGAGTAGAGGCCTGAAAAATTGCGAGTTTGCGGCTCGGGGTTGCAACGCATGCTCTTCCGATATACACAGCATAGTGATTTTAGGATATTTCAAGTTTGTCAGTTGCTTTAATTCTTTGTTCATGGTTGACATACTTTCCAAGCTGGCCTGATGCAGGAGTTGTTTGAAGGTATTTGCTATTCGAAATGCGCGACTCTCACGGGTGGTAAAATGCCTGCACCCCAGCTAGTTTCGTTTGAAAAACTGCTATTTCAGTCCATACACCAAACCAGAGGCACCTTTGGGATAGCAAGTGACTGTTTGCTTGCTTCGACTCCTTTTAGACAAGTTTGAGCTTGCTGTGATTTGAGTTGGGTCACATCGGCTGATTGTGCCAGAAAGCCATGTCATGGCCAATCGACACCCACAGGACAATGACGATACAAGTACAAGTCATGCTAGACGATACGATTCGCAGTGTATTAGCAGTCAAGTCATGTCAAGTGCTGGCTGCGATGCTGGCTGTGCCGAGGCCACATAGAATAACGTCGCCAGGAGCCAAGTTGATGTATAGAACGGAACGCTGCTTTGCAATCGTCTCATCAGCATGTGTGTTCATTTGCAGGTTTGCTTGTTCATAGTCCTGTTTTTGAGTGTCTAGTTCAAGCAACAGCTGCTGCGATGCACCCTCTCTATTTGTGCAGGGCGGTGTGCTGCAAATTTGATTCAGCTTCGCCACTTGGTCGTGAACAGTGGTGTGATGCTTTCTGTTGTGAACAGAGCATGTTCTGTTGTGAACAGTAACAGTCCGCTGAGGGCTTGCCAAAGTCCCGAGAACGCGGTCATCAGCGTCAACTTGGATCGAAGCCGCGAAATTAGCAATGCAACTCGACCTTTGCACAGACAGCTCACTCTATATAGGTCCATGAAGCTGACAGGTTTCACCAAGAAGATGGTTTAATACAACTGATACTGGTACAAGGGATACTCAGCAAGGATTGGTTTCCATACAGGCGTAGGTTTGTGCTAATTTGTGCAAACCACTTCTAGGTGGCGAAAGCAAGGTTTGCTTATCCCTGAATGGCGGACTCCCAAGGCATTACCACATGCTCCGTATATGAGGACAGGAGGGTGTTGCGGAGCAGAGTAGCTTTTGAATTATAGCCAAATACCTATATATATATACATACTGTCTTTTGTGGCACATCAATCTGACTTTACTGCATATTCATAATTATGAATGTACATTGCACTCCTTTGCAGAGTTTTGCAGTGGAGCATGGTTTGATTGCACAGCTGGTGCTCGCATTAAGTGTTGTTGTTCTTCTTCTTCTTCAATGATATGCACAGTCTTTTTCCTGGAAGGTACTGTAAGACAACTTCTTTTGTGTCTTATTAAGAAACCCAAAATTATACAGCTCGACTACCTGCACCCTTTTCAATCCGTTGGCAAATATATCTATATACAGTATGTACATGTATGTACCCATATTATTACTATGTCTTGAAGTACACGCTCTTCTGGATGTTGGGGGTTTCCTATACTCAAAATTGAAATCAGAGCTTCTTGTGGTGTGATTGAAACGTTGTAGGTAGGCCAACTGCAGACTGCAAGGTTCTTTTAGAGAGACGCAGCTTTGTTGTTTCCACTACGTTGCATACACGTGGAATGACCGAGGAAAGTTTGGGAAACGCTAGGAAACGACATGCCGACAGCCCTCAGCACTGTCCTGCAGGCCTGAGACAGACTGAACAGCTTTGCTGTTGCCGAATATTGCCGAATGCACTTCATACCTTTTTGCTGCGTCAACAAGAAACTTTAGAACCTGATCTTGGCTCATGTGGCAATGGCCCGTGGCCAGATCTGAAGGGCTCTTCTTGCTCAGCCTGTTTTCCAAGCAAAGTCTTGATTTGTAAGTAGCGAAGTAGGGAGTTTCACCAACTCACAGCAATGGTTGGCAATGTCCGCCTGCCTCACGGTTGACATGATGGATATGCTTGGAGCAGCGCACCACCCTTTTGAAGCATGAGAAAGCTGAAAGTTTCATTGTCACAGATTGCTGAAGGCATGAACGCTCGGCACCTTTTCTGGCTTCAGCCAACCGCTCAGCTGTACGACGTGCCCGACCTTGCTTGAGGTTCTGCGAACGCCAACGGTTTGAAATTTGGAGTTTTGACATTTTTCATAACTTCGACACAAGTCGGACGCTTCAATCAGGTTTCCATGATGTACAAATTATGCAAATCCATTTATGCATCAACTTTGAAAATCCTTACCTCAGCCTTATGTAAGCTCACACGGTGTTCATCCTTACTACTTTGCGGCGGTGCTGACATTCTCAGCTTAAGTTTCCCTAATTAAAAATCTAGGAACCAAATCATTAGTGTGAGCGCTTCTTCAAGGAAGCTTCCCCGCCACCTTTAGGGCGACGACGGGGGAGCTTCCTTGAAGAAGCGTGAGCTATCCTGGTTGCAGCTACCTAGCTCCTACTAGCTACCTCTTCTACTAGCTACTTCACCTCCTAGCGGCCGACCCCCCTTAAAAAACAATATAATATATATATAATAAAACACATTTTTTCTTAGCCTTTTCAAGATTTTCTCTTTGCCTTTGGACCCTGAAAGGTTGGCTGGCCGTCGCCGGTCGTCGCCAATAGCTATGGCAGACGGACCGCATGCGGGTGCACGTTCAGACGTTCCGAGACCACGGCCGAGGAGATCACATTCATGTGGAGTGTCAAATAACAAGAAGCTACTAGGTGTAGGTCATCGCTATTAGGTTGGAGGCCATCGCTCCTAGGAACAACAAGCTACTAATAACAAGGACTCTATTAGGTTATTGTTATGTTCCTGAAATCGTTGTGTGCCTTATTGGAACTTCCTCGCACATTCCTTGTTCAGCCAAGCGGCTGTATTTACAACCTGATTGGACACCAATCCTTGACCTAAACCCGTGAGCTAGATGCCAAGTAGATAATCAGAGGCAGCTGTTGCAACGAGCTTGTAAATCCGTGACGTTTTCCTGCCCGGTAGATAGGCAATGGCTGTAGATCATGACTAATTATTCAAATGAATCAAACTATTCAAGTTTGGTCCCTGTTCATGGACCTGAATGCAGCATGATCCAACCAAGCACGTCGTCACGGCTGAAACAGGTATACTTAGAATTGATAGTTGCAATTTCAATCGATCGAATTATCACTACAAAAGGTCCCCCCAACTTTGCGTGGTACCTACCCTTTTGTTTGGTATTGATTTGGGGGGACGTCCCCCTGTTGTGCGTGTTGTGTGGGTTTTGTTTTGGATTGTCCTGGAACTATAGCACTCCCTCTACACATTGTGACTGCATCGCAAGGCACAAGGAAGTTATAGACGACAATGCTTGGCTACTCTGCACAGGGTGTACGCTGTAGTCAGTCCTTCAGTGGTAGCGGAGCAGTGATCCTGGAAGAGCCAGGTAAAGGATGAGGCTCAATATGGTGACCGCTGAAAAGTCCCAGCAAATCTTCAAGTAAGTGGACAGGGTGCAACCTGCCTCTCTGATTCGATGTTGTTTGTGGCACTTAGGTTGTGGTTGGCGTGAGGAGGGGGTCGCGAAAGAGAGTTGTGGCTTTTTTGGTGGTGTTAGATGACTGGTGTGAGTTGCAACGCTGGGAAAATTTCGTTGTGGCACATCGTGTGGCCACAAATGGTTTATGTTGACTTTACACTTGACCGATTCGGTCGAAAGAGGCTACGTAATTCGGTAGTGGAGGAAAAAGACATGTTACATGTTGGTCTATTTTCGGCACGATTTGGGCAATGGATGGATGAAACAACATGCTTGGCCGTCACACATGAGAAGCCAGCAGCCACACTTCGCGGGGGATCATGAATCATGAACATCTCCCCACTATACAGCGGCAGCTTGTGCCATCTATCACAATTGATGCATACATACGCGCCTGATGATGGAGAAGAACTGAAAGAAGTCAACGCCTCCAACCAAAGACCAATCAAGAAGCTCAACAAACTTTGGCTTATCGCTCGCCAACAGTTTCTGAAGGTACTGCAAGAGCACCATGCCCAACATGCCAACATCTTGCAGCACCCACTCCGCTCCAGATCCAAGATTAGTCTTTAAGACGCAATGGACTAGACAGATTGATGACTGAGAAGAGCCTGATACGGACTTGGCTTTTGAGCCGCAAACATTTGCCAATAGACATGTGAGAAGAGAGCCAGCAGCAATAGCTATGACGCACATGACAGCAAGGCGCCCCTGGCCTACGGCGGGAACTCATGGTTTTCCCCTATGTGGCGTGACATCGCAGAGCTGGAAGAGGAGAAGAGAGTGTTCTTCACACTAGTCGTCTTGGCCGCAACAGGTATCACAGGTCAGGAGGATATGAGCATCGAAGGACCATCCTTCACAGGCAAAGCTGAAGAACAAGGAAGTGCAAAAATGACTCCAGCAGAACTGACGTCATTAAGTTGAACGTGTCTGGTGTTTCCCAAACCTGCTTTTTGTGCACGCGTGCGCGGGTTCCTTGAGCATGCTTGTGCCGACAACGCGCCCAAGGCGGAACTGATCAAGCAGATGCCCAACACCAAGTCTATTTGGGGCCATCGGCCATATGGATTGGTGCGATGCCTTCGAAGATTGAGCGCTTGGCTTTCGCAGATGTAGCCGCCCAAGCTGTTCATTCAGGGAGTTGCCGTCATTGATAGCGGTGCTGCTTGCAGTCTGTTTGGTTGGTCTTTGGCCTGGGGGCAGAGGGGAGATTGTTGCATTTTGATAGTTGCGTGAAAGATGTACATCCCGCAGCCGATGCATGTTGCCGCTGCTTCACATGTCAACGCGTCAACAAAGCCATAAATCATGTTCAGCTGATGTTGCGCTGAAGAGAAATCGCCATCGCTGGTTGCCCGCTTTGCTTTTTATCAGGAGCTACGCCTATGCGCCCACTTGATCACTTCGCCTGTGAGATGCTGATTGTGCTCCACATTCAACGCTGCTGGAAAAGCGTGGCTAGCGCCAAACCGCTTGGTGCTAGTTGCCACCAACCAAGGTGTGTTGAAGGCCGAAGAGCGCAAACAGCTGCTGGGAATGCGAAAAATGCCCTCACTGACGTAAGAGTGAACTAAAACATGAACAAGTAAAAACTGCTTCGGCGCCAACTTGTTCAGGGCGAGCGAGCTTTTGATGGCTGACGTGAGTAGCTGTGGTAAGCGCGCTGCAGGGCGGTGGAAAAGCCACGAGGGAAGACGGTGCGCTTGTCCGTTCTAACGGCCGGCAGCTGGTGGGCTTTTAAAAAAGCACGTATTTGGGGGCCATGCTTGTTTGGGGTGACCATGGGGCTGACAAAGCCTGCGCATCGAAGCCAACCGCTGCGTTGAAGAGTCGTAAGCCAGGTGTTGGAATATGCGTCTCGGTTCCGTGCCACCCTCCAGAGTTTATTCTCGCTGACTTGTTGACTTGTCGGCGAAGCAGGCTCCACAAGCGTATGAAGTCGTGCCCTGCCAAGACCACAAAAGCCTCGCCTTTGTTAAGCGATATTGTTTTGTTGACGTTACCAACGCCGGCAGACATGACTGTAAACGGACGAAGTCTATGTACTGTCATTTCGGCCGGTGTCATTTTTGAGCATCCTTGGAAGAAAAACTCCTGAGCATTTAACCTTTTCTTTCAGGTTTTCTTGTCGCATTTAACTGAAGAGAGCCGGTTCACAGCATCTTGGCCTGTATCGTCGCCTGCGGGAGATCAGTAATCGAGACTCCTGCTATACTTATAAGCTATGAGACTACGTTGTCCGTGAAGTGTGCAATGCGCCGGCGCCTGACCCTGTATAGGAATATGGTGTCACGGTGTCACATCTACTTCTGCGTATAAGTACTTTTTGCTGGGCTCGACCTTGCCGTGGAGCGAAAGCGGATATAGCGACAGACTGGTGTGTGTATGGCGTGTGTTATTATGAACTTGGCCTGGTTTTTTGGGGTGTTGTGGGGGTTTTGTTTGCCTCGGACGCAAGCATCCTGCTTCCTCAAGGTGCTGCTTGCCTACACTTCACAGGGTGTACGTGATAGCCCCCCTTTCACCACACGCATAATTACTTGAGCGGTTGGAGGGTTGTTTTAGAGTAGTGTCTCGAACATTTCCACGCAAGTCTTATTGGTGACACCAGCGCTGAAGCGCCTGCTTTGCTGGTCATTTTCTCTCAGATGGTTGCAACGTATTCTCGCACTTTCGTTCCTGACCACATGTCTACGGGCGGTCATATCAAACATTTCTGGTTGTTTATGCCCTTTGAAGCCTTTAAAGCTGAATCATCTCTTTCGGGTCTTGATGTGTTTGTGTCATGTGAATTGCGCGAGCGCCAGACTGACAGTTCAGCAGGACACCCTCGCCAGTGAGAGCAGTGGCAGAATGCAAGAAAACTCCTGCACCGCCGCGAGATTTCGACCTCACTCCAGCCATTTGGCGTCCACTTTGGATCCCGTGCAAGCCATATCAATCAACGCTCTGCAAGGTGCAAATAACCATGGAGATATCTATGGTTTGATTGTCTGCGGCACGCAGCTGGACTGAGGACACCATCGATGTGATTTATGCTGAGGACGAGGAGGTTTTTCGAGAAACCGCCGTCCGAGAGCTGTTGAAGGTGGGATTTCTCAGGCCCGGACGCGGGGTTTGGCAGCGGGATTTGTGACGCGTGATTCAAGCGTGACTGGTATATTATCTGTTTTGACCGGGTCTCGGTTCCTCTTGCCGGAAGTCTGCTTGCCCTCGCCTGTACAACTTTATCTAGGTATGCGTTTGTTTTCGAGTTTGTTCGCGCGTGTCTGTGTGTGTAACCCTTGGAGTCACATTGTATCGCGCGCAATCGTCCCACTTTGTTCTTTTCTTTGTAGAGCAGGGGGATGAGGATCCCTTGGTGTGCCTCATTTAACAAAGACCGCGCCAAGTGAATGCGATATCAGTGCCCGGCCAGCACTGACGTACCTACCTTTCAATTTTTAAGCCTTTTCTGCAGTCACGCGCTGAGCTTTTGGCCCTGCTTCCTCTTGAAGACCTCCAGGCTCCGTAGGTTTACTTGACCTTTCCAGGAATTGGGTATACAGGTTGGCGTGTGGCAACCGCTTTCACATCAGTACGCATTTCTATAAGTGTAGTGTGTCTCTCCTTAGTGAGAACCCAGGGTGACCCCGAAAAGTGGCCCCTGTGGACCCGTTGAACGGAGGTTCGTCAAACTTATCCCTTGCCTGGATACACGCCAGCTCGCAGCGAGCGTAGGTGGCTTGAGCCAAAGTTATTGGCCAAGACTTGAAGGATTATTATGACTATTGAATTCCAAGCTGGCCGCCTTCGGGCACGCCGTCAGGTGACCATAGCGGTCTCAAGTCGCCCGCCATTTTGGCATGGCGCAAGGTGACCACAGCGGTCAAAGTTGGAACCTGTCGGGACCTTAGTGCCGCCTCCTCCTCTCCCTGCGCATCCCTTGCCGCCTACACCAAGCCACACACTGCAAACGCGCCTACAACCTTTTCCTTTCCCTGAAGTGTGTCTGGCCTTGTGCCAGCCCAGGGTGAGCCCGCAGAGTGCCCCCTTTGGAACCCGTCGAACGGGGGTTTGTCGAATATATCCCCTGCCCGGATACAGAGACGAGAACCGATGAAGCCAAGCCTCATTAGAAACACCTGTGTGTGTTTCGGCTCCAACGAGCCTTGAAGGATGTACAGGCTCCAACGAGCAGCTTCGGCCGCTGCGGCCACGTACGCCGTGCCAAAATGGCTGGCTGCTCTGACCGCTATGGTCACCTAAAGGCATGCCCGGAGGCGGCCAGCTTGGAATTCAACAATTCGTCAGGTCTTGGCAAATAACTTTGGCTTAAGCCTCCTACGCTCGCTGCGAGCTGCTGTGCTGCGGTCGGGGGGGCAGGCCAAACAACAAACATTTTGGAGACAGTGCAAGACTATGATTTGAACTCAGTGCTTGTCCTACCTTGGAATCTTTGCGCTACCTAGCCGGACGTTTCTTCACTGGCAAAAGCTTCGCGCTTGTATTGTTCCACGAACACCGTCTGCCACAGGCAGTCGCGCGCACTCAGCAGGACGCTCAACGCGCCAGCTTTTTCATTTTGCACCGTCGTTGCAAAGCAGTCTACGCCGGCGACAGCTTTTGTGCATGCGTTGTGCCTTGCAGAGCATCCAAATTACACACGCCGCAGTGCCACAGGCAGTTGAGTGTGCTTAGCAGGGCGGTTCTGCAGCCGCCAGCTTGTCGCTCGAGCTGATCAGTGTGCCACGCGCCGCCGGTACAAAACAGACTTGCGCCCTGCCTCCATTCCTACCATGAAACTTTGCTGTATGTTCTCTGCGCAGCAATGCCACAGGCAGCTGCGTGTACCTAGCAGGACGTTTTGAACTTGTAACAGAGTCACTGCTACGAAACCGTGTTTTTACGTAGCGCAAAACATGTTGTATGCGCGCGAGGCCATATGCGGCTGCAAGACGTTTCCATGCTGGCGACAGCTTTTGCGCTTGTAGTGTGCCTCCTTCGTGCGAAGCTTTTCTTGCGCCCGACAAAGAGCTATAATGTGTTCTACGACTCAATGAGCAGCTATGCCACAGGCAGTTGCGCGTGGCTAGCAGGACGGTTCTGCGTAGGCATCAGTTTTTTTGCACTTTTTCTGCCCTTGTTGCGAAGCATTCTTTATACACCATCGGATTGTTCTATGCATAGCAATACCAGGGGTGCGCATTTTCCCCTACGAAGCAGTGTTTCTATGCAGCGCAAAACACGACCTGTTTTATGTATGTTTTCCGCTGGCGTTTGAATTCTTTCGTGAGTATGTTTCTTGTGTGCAAAATGGTGCGCTGGCATTAACTATAATTTTCGGCATTGAAAATTGCATGTTGTTTGGATAGTGAACTTGTTCTTGTAACTTGTTATCGCAATTTGATTTTGCAATTGCATTTCAACAAGGTCTTGATGTTGGTGGGAAATGGTTTTTGACATGTAACACTGTTTGTTTGACATTTGACACTGTTTTTCTTGTGCTGTTCGTATACAAGCCATGCGTCTGCGCACATGCATACATTCATTGCTTCGATGTATATGTCCTGCTTCCTGTTGTGACATATCAGTTTTGCTTTTACTACTCAGACAACTCGCTTGGTTTGCGTGTTTTTGTATGAACTATGCGCTTGCGTGTCCAAACGTGTATATCTTCCCTGCTGCCAAAAATATCACGAGCATTCACGAACTGCGTGCATTGCACTTTTCTCGTATAAGTTATGCGTTTGTCCTTCAATACATTTTCCTCACAATACATTTTCCTCCTCCTGTGGTGATTTTCTTTACCCAGTCATCTGTATGAACTTATCTCCTCAGCATTCTCTGTTCGAGTAGGAGTACATGTGTGCCGAGATATATAGACACCCCTCTTCCTTGGTGCGAATCTTTGTTGCGCTGTATTGAATTGTTCTTCGATGTATAGACTGTGCGCAGGCACTTGAACCTACAATTCGGCCACCGGCGTATATTCCTTAAGTGCCTCGCGGTCTATGGAAAATGTCGTGTAAGTTTGCAGAGGAATAATCGGATTGCATGTCTTTTTTTGTGGATTTAAAACTTGTCCTCCTCGATATGCGATATGATGACATGATATGCGAAAGAACAACGCAACAAGCCATCCGCGCAGAAACAATGCACCAGATCTTGGTGGACGCTTTGCTATTGGGGTTGTCAACTGGGTTAATGTTAAACAAACCGGTGTTTTGTTTTTATTGAAGAATGGGGTTTTGAGAGCAAGTGCGACAGTTTGTGGCAAGGAATCTATATATTGCTAAACTCCAGCACGTTCAGTTCAAGGTGACAAAATGCGAACAGGATCGCTGAAAACACACATATATTGTTTTTTTCATTTTTTCATATTTTTCCAGCACTCTTCGCTTGATACTTGATCGTCGCACCTTGCCTCCGACTCTTCTCTTATTCGTCGCTTAAGAAAGAGTGCGTACTATTCCAACCAATGTGTTCACTCACGAAAGGTAGCCCCTAAGGGGATACCTAGAGTTTGTCTTGCGAAGCAAGTGTCGGCGCGTGCGGGTCTAATAATTGAAAATTCAATTCAACCCCCCCCCTTCGAATTGATTTCTCAATACAGACCCCTCCCCCCCGCCCCCCACGGAATTGATTTTTCAATACCGACACCCCCCCCTCTATATTCAATTCTCTCCTGGAGAACGTCTTCGTGAGCCTCTCATGATTTCAGGATAGTTGAAACCCTCTTGAACATTCAGAGTGCATATGAAATTCTAATCACGAAAGGTGTTCCCCGAGGGGATACATACCTAGAGTTTGTTTTGTGAAGCACGTCAATTCTCTCCTGGGGAACGTCTTCGTGAGCCTCTTATGGTTTCAGGATAGTTCAGATCCTCTGATGCTCCGATTCAATGCTCACCACCGATGATCTGAGCCATGGGGCAAGTTTGTTTTCCCAAGAATCTTTTGAACATTTCGAGAGCATATGTTTGAACATTTAGAGTGCATATGAAATTATATTTGCGAAAGGTCGCCTCCGAGGGGATAAATACCTGGCATGAAAAAGAACAAGCGGTCCTCAGAGCTCTCATGCATCACCATGTCGAACATTGCATTGTTGTTCCTGCCTCTCGCGTTCTCTTCTCTTCCCGCTGTCCTACCTTTCGTGTCTCCCTCCTCTCAAGTTTTCATGTGGGGCGGCAAGAAACGTGAACTCGATGCCAACTTTGTGAAATCGATGATCACTTCAGTCAAATCGATGATGAGACGTGGCACCGCTGCTAGTTTCCTCACGCCCGTCCGATCTCCATTTCCTATCATGGGCTGCCCAGCAGCCCTGCCGGTATCCGGAAAGACTGCAAATACTACACAACATTTGCCAATAGTGCTGAAAAACGAAAAATGTCTACGGCTGTGATGGTGCATGACACCAAAAAACATTGAACATGAACGCTGCCTGTTAACCGGGATGCTCCTCTTCGAACCAATGGGCACTCCCGCCCTTCCAGCTTTACATGTCGGTCAGCTTTTAAGTTCAAACAGAAATACAACAAGTGGCCCGGTCTATAGAAATCCTAATCCAGCAATGGCCATCCATGTTTTTTTGTTTGTTTGTTTGTTTGTCACGAAAGTTAGCATGCTAGCTGAGTAGTTCTTTGCTTTAGCAATTTTCTATTGGGATGAGCTTCGTGCCTTAAAGCCTGATACAGTATATCAGGCTAACCCTCCACCCCCCCCCC